GTATATAAACACTGCATCCATTGCACCTATGTATCACCCTCAAGTGGCTCTTATCTCAGGATAATCTAGGTTCTCAGTGCTCTTTACTGAATTAGCTCCCCCTCCCCACCTCATACACATAGGAAGCCCTTTCCTAAGAAATCTTGCCTTGCAGGTCAGCAGCACAGCTAATCTGCAATACGGTATTATCTGGCCCTCCATAACACAGCTTCTTAAATGTCCTTAACAATAACAGTTCTGGATTCATATACCACCTCTGCCATCAATGTGACTGAAGGCAAATCATGAACCTCTTCGGGCTTCCATTTACTCACCTCTAAAATGGTTAGTTGACCTTTCAAGTCCCTTCTTAACTTTAAATTTATGTTCTGGTGCTAAATAATACAATTATTCTTCCCCCCTCCTTTAGAGATGATAAAAATAAGAATCATGAAAGTGAAGTGACTTGTCCAAGGCCACATGGCTAGTGAACAAATCAGAATTTGAACTCAGACCTTCTGGCCCTAAGTCCGGTGTTCCTTCTACTACTAGACTCACACCCTTTAATATAAATCTATCTCTTCCCAGGAGTGGGTCCCTTTCTCAAACCACATCCCATGTTCTCTGAGGGTAGGGGCTTGGTCTTTGCATCCTCTTCCAGGCACAGAAGGCCAGCTATGGGGCTATGACTTTCCCAAGTAGGAGTGTGGGCCAGAATTCCCTTGGGGGATCAACTTCTTAAGTGCTGTGTCTCTGTTTCCACAGGGTCTACCCTGGGCAGGTATCACTACGGAAACCAGCTGTAGTAGACAGGCCAGCTGACAGGTTGCTAAGCAGCACCAGGCAGGAGGATGAAGATTCTATTGGGCGACAGGAACCAGACAGGCACTTATTCTACCTTTGGGGCTGGATGGTGAGTGTGCCCTTGGGAGCAGGTGCAGTAGAGGACTTCTTCACCGTCTACAGGAAAAAATCCCAACATCCTTGCATCAAAGAGAAGATCTCCAACCTACCTTTTCTGCTTTCTCCCCCTACCACCCCTTGGAGGATGGCCCATTGTTGACCAAGTCCTGGAGCCAGGAATGTGGAGAAGAAAGAATCGCAGGCAAGGTATATACGTAACAGATTTTATTACATTAAACAATAATGAGTTGATAGCAACAAGTTCCAGAGGAGTTCAGCATAGGAGCTTTGATCCCTGCAGAAGCATGACCACCACCTAATGGCGGGGGGTTCTCAGCCTCCCTGAGGGCCGGTCACCAGAGAGCCCCCAATCCCACGGCCTTCACTCCCTAGTCCCACTCCCTTCTGGGTGGGTGGGACAAAAAAGGACCCAATTCATGAGCCCATGTGGCATCTGCCTCGATGGCAAGAGAAGCAAGGAGGAGAGGGAGTGCAAGTGAAAAGAGGAGGTGACAGATGCCATGTGGAATCAACAATTTTGTTTTGTTTTATTAAGTATATAAACAGATGTATTCATTTGCTGGGAGTCAAGCGGAGACCAAAGTGTCAGACCTCAGCCACCCTCATCTCTGAGACATGGAGGACAGAGCTCATTCACAATCCCTCTCTTGTCCCTGCTGTAAGCCCCTTCCTGACTGGTGCGGAAAGGTGACCCAAAGGTGTTGGGAGGTGTTGTCTCTCTCTTTTCCTGCTCGTTCCTGGCCTTAGGACAGAGGGCAAGGGTTCAACTCCCCAAAACTGCTCCAAGGCTTGTCTTTGGTTGTCAACTAACCCTCTGCAAATTTCCCTATACCCCTTTCACCTCACTCTGAAGCAGGTCAGGCTCAACACTGCGTTCGAGTTTCCCAGCTAGCAGCATACCCTTCTTCTCTGGTTATCTGTCTTAGGTCTGAAATACCTCTGCAGCCAAAAGGAAGCCACTAGTCTGAGGTTCGTATCTCTCTTCTCCACTCCCCACACCCCAAACTCTCTAGCCATCAGAATAGAAGAATGCCCTTCTTTTCGCATAACCAATAAGTTTAACAGTCTGTTCTATGAACCAGGCCCAGGTTAGTTACATTCAAGGCCACTCCTTTCAGCTCCTCTTCCCCATTTCAGAGAGGAGGATGATCCAAGGCATTATGCAGCTCAGGCTAGAGCTGGGGTGGGGTGGGGTGGGGTGGGGTGGGGGTGAGGGTTTGGGCAGTTAGGGACTGAAGAGTCTGTATTCTCTCAGAACTCGTAGTACCTGCCACTTGGGCTCAGGCGTCCCCCAGGGGATCCTGGGGTAGCCCTCGGCTCTCAGACAGCTTGGAGACAAAAAGCATTTATCACATGAGATGGAGCCAGATGGTGGCTATTATTAACCTGTTATTAACCGGGCAGTTATATTACATCATTTATTTTGAGGTTCTACAGAGGAAACCAAATGCTACTACATATTTAGCCTGGTCTAAAGTGACTCACCAGCTTGTGAGCTGTGGAGCACCATGGACATAGAGAGACACCAATCCACAAGTATCTTCCAGCCCCATGTCAAGCTAGTTAACACAGAGATGTTACAGGATGTTCTCTTCCCATTCCTTTGAACATCCACTAACATTTGGCCCTAGACTCACTCAGTTTATCATCCTTCTGAGGAGCTTTCTGGAATTGAACCAATTCAGGGAGAGGGAAAAAAAATATGAAAATAAAAGGAGAAAGGATAAGAAGAGGCAGAGATAGGTTCCAGCTTAATGAAAAGTTCACCCCCAAATGCTTTGGATATGAATATCACAAGGTACTCAAGGATCCAGAAGGCAAAAATCAAACAAACAAATGGGAAAAAAACCACTGCTAAATGCTGCATGGGTCCATGGGGAAACCAGAAGTCAGTGGATGCAAGTTTCATGGCTCACTGCTCCCCACTGCCCACTTGGTAAGCAAAATTGATGTCAATGTGTTTTGTATTCTCCTGGGAAATGTTTGATGACAGCATGAGACTCCAGTTCAAGTGGGTACTGGATGTACCCACTAACTTCAACTCTCTCTCTCTCTCTCTCTCTCTCTCTCTCTCTCTCTCTCTCTCTCTCTCTCTCTCCTCTTTCTCCCCTTCAATTTCCCCACAGGCCCTGTGGGTTGGCGGCAAGGGGAGGAAGCCATTGACCATTAGAGCCCATAATCACAACATTTGGACTCAAGCAAGCCATCAGATGGAGTTTGGCTGGCAGGCGGCCTTGCTTGGGAACAGGAGAGAACTTCAGAAAGCTCTGCAAATAGGATTTCATTGAAGTACTGTTTCAACCTCCAACTAAAGTATGCCCATACAGAACAAAAAAGAATCTGAACTGCATGACAGTTTTAAATGATATTTTCCTTGTTTCTGCTTTTTCTCCCCCTAATTATTATTATTTTTTTTATTTTGGACAATTCTAACCCCATTGTCCAACAAATTCTATCCCACTGTTCATCAAAATCCTAGCATTTGCAGCAGTGATTTTTGAATGACCAATGACAGATGGACGGGATTTCACAGTAAAACAGAGCTGCAGGACTGCCAGGCTATTCAACAAAAACGGGACAGGACTTACAAAAGAAGTTGGGGGGGGGGGGAGAGAAAACTTGGAAGTTTCATTCCAGAAACAAAAATAACAATAATAAAATAAAATAAAAATATTTCTGAAGAGATTGCATATAAAGCTTTTAAACACTTTTGGAAGATTTCCCTCCCTCTTTACTATTCTCCATCTCCAAGTCGGAACGTTTTACCAAGAAAGTGTATACAATAATCTCTAGAAGCGAAACAAAACAACTCCCTCCCCCCTCCCCAAACACATTATCCAAGTATACACGAGGGATAAAATTACATTTGTACAAAAATAGATTTTTTTTAACCTAGTGATGCTTTAGACATTTTTCTTATCTCTTTGTTTACTCGTCTTTCTTTCTAGACATTTAGCTACGTATTTGTCATAGCTAAGGCATTGCCAAAGAGCGGGGACTGCTAAAGCTGTTACCCGACAGCATCTTAAAATAGATGCATCTCCTCATCTTAAGATAGTCATTCGAACCCAGATTTCACCAAAGGAGGGGTCCTTATGTACTTGCTTACATGAAGCAAATTTACAGGAAAACAGAAAAAAGAAACTGATTAAAAATAAACACAAAACATTCGTAATTGCTACAGGCATAATATATGTATATGTGAGTGGGGATATATATACAGTGTATATATCTACAGTACATACATGTATACACACACACACATATGTATCAACTTAAAATAGATCATGCACCTTATTCATTCAGTGATGGGGACAACATCAGCTGATTATCCACTGCTTTGCAAATTCTGCCCGGGCATTTTTGGAGGCCATGGAGAAGATGGTTTCACCAAGAGCTTCCCTATCACCTGTGGACCCAAAATTATGATGGAAAACACTAGGGCAGGGCTCCCCCAAGACCATGAAAGAAACTAACAGGCCATAGGTAAACTGTACGGGCTCTTCTGAAATGCCCTGCCTTGGATAACGGTGTGTGTGAGCCAACTATTCAGAGGAAGTCTTCTCCACCTCTGGGCAGGCCTTGACAGGCCCATTCAACTGGGCTAATGGGGTGGTGACAGCGCCATGGACCATGGGGTGAATACTCTAAAGAACCCACAGATAAGCCAGCTTCTGAGGAAAAGTATGACTTAGGGGGAAGTTATTAACCAGCATGGCAGAGGCAAATAAAGAATTCCGGCTCTTCTGCCCCAGTGAGGTCCCACGGAACTCACAGTGGTTTTTAGCAAGTGACATTTCCTCAGTGCTCCATCAGCATGATATGAATATAGAGATACTGCCCAGAGGTCAAAGTGCACAAACGATTAAGGCCCATTCCTGGGGCAACTGCTGCCCATATCAGAATCACAAACAGTCCATGTGTTACAGCTCCAGGCATGGCCCTTCTCCTGGCTTTGCTGATGGTGGGACCCCCTTAGGAGCCAGAGGGGGAGAAAGAGGAAGAGGCTACAGGACCAGATAGCCAAGGCTGCTGGGACTAATTACCAGCCATTAACTGCTCAAAGCTCCATTTTAGCCTTAGTTTTCTGTTTTTTCCCCCAAGCCAGAAGAAAAGAGACAGAACAGGGATATGGGGGCAAAGGGTGGCTAACAAGCTGATGTTAGTGCTATCTTTAGAAAATTAAAGATTGTCCCACCAAAAAATAATAATAATTACAAAAAAAATCACCTTAATTGAACCAGATTTTTGTGAGAATACTAAATGTCTGGTTAAATAAAAGTCCTAACTCTCTATTGAATAATGTGCCATTTTACCCAAATATCACCTCTCCAAACAAGCAGTATATTTATAATAATAATAACAACAATAATAATGATAAGAGGAAAAAAAAGCCAGAGTTTAAGGAAATACAAATTAATGAGTCAAATAAAACCCTATTATGGATTCATGCAAATGGGGTGGTGTATTTAAGGCTACAGTGGCATAATTAGATTTCCTGGGGAAGAGAGGGAGACTTCTCACTTTGGAACATGCAGGAGAAAACAAAGGATTCTGTGCTACACTTGGGTGCCCACTCCAGGCACCCAATATCCCTTACCACTATGAGAGCAAGTTCTCAGTGATAAGTTATATCCACGGCTCTTCCCAAATGATTCTGAGTCTACATTTATCCCAGGCTTTTCATAGCTAGGACCAGACATTCCAGCTTTTTTCTTCTTGCTGGCAAGAGCAGCAGCATCTTCTCCCACCATATTTTTCCAGGCGGGACCCCAGAGGAAAGTACAAAGAGTAAGTGGGAAGGAAAAGAAGAATTACCCAGAAACACTTGGGGTTATCTTTCATAAGGCTGATGACTAGCTCTTGACCTCTGCCTGACAGATTTTTGTTCGAAATGGCAAGATATGCTGGTTGTGGACCCAATTTTCCACACTGCTATGGACACAAGTATACCAGAAATCCTCTCTACCTACCAGAGTAGAAAGAGGTCCCATTTAGATATTAGAATGAGTCTGGGAATTCATCCAGCCCAATTCCCTCATTTCATAGATGAGGAATTCAAGGCTCCAAGAGGGGAAAGAACTTATCCCATGATCATGTTGTCATAAAAATGGCAGAACCTAGACCACTGTGCTGGTGTTCTGGTTCCAAGTACAGAGCTCATGTCACAATCACAACCAACATTTAAATCATTCAGAATTGGCCATTTAAGGGGGAAGATTTTGGCTGAAGAGGCCACCTTCCCTCCAGGTTGGACTAACTGAAGTATAACCTCATCTAATGTTCAGGATTGATACACCTGAGCAGTGAGCAGTGGTGTGAAGTCTTCCTCTCCCTAAGCCAGGCATAACTGATGCTGTCTCACTTCAGACAGGACAAAGCTACTGTTCAAGCACAACTACTAGCTGAAAATAGGGACTAGGGGAAAAGGTAGAAAACATTAAAAAAAATTATAACTTATTATCTCAAACTTAAAATCAATTAAGCCTTGAAGAAACACTCTTTGTTGGGAAAAAAAAATAAATAAATACAGAGACTTCATCCTTGGCTCTGAGTGAATATTCTGAAAGAATGGTCATTTCCTTCTCCTACCTCAACTAGAGTCCCCAGCCTGGCTTTTCTTTAGCTCTTCTCTCATCATTTCTTTCTGAGGAAGCACCTGTTGACAGGAAATACTTCAGGCCCAGTGGGAAGCATGGGAAGGATGAGCATGGAAGAAGAAAAGTGTGGAGGTCAGCAGAAATAGGCCAAATTCAAACTAGATTCGTCTGTCTAGAAAGACAGGAAGATACTCCTACTATATGAGCTGGAACATAAGTCACCTGTTGATAATAAAAGCACTGGGTTTTTGGAGTCTGAGAAGCATTGAATAATTACCAACATCATTAGATAACAGTCATAAGGAGGAAGATTTGTGGGTCCAAGACAAAGCCTCTTCACTATCAGCTGTCTGACAATGGAATGGGCTACCCCAGGACATAGCGAGCCCCCATTATTCAAGATGAGGCTGGATGGCTGTCTCATCAAGCATTTTGTAGAAGGCATGCCTACATTAAATGGAACTAGATAACACTAGTTAGAACTAGTTAGAAGATTCATAGAGTCTTCAAAGATAATTAATAAAAAGCCTCCATAAGTCTGAGATGATGTTATGCTAGAAATCTAATGGAGTATAGTCATAGAGAAACCTGGTGCTTTTCAGGCTGCCTCCAGCAAACCAGCAATATTTCCTAACATAACCTGGAGGAGGATGAGACAGAAAACGTTTAGGTGTCACCAAAGATACTCACTTTTAACGATGGGCAAGAAGTGGCCCAGGGGACTCCTCTCTTTTCTTGGGTGGTAATTTACTGCCCTGATTGTGGGGCAGACTCAGAGGTCTTCTTGTGATTTAACTCCTTTTTTGCCTCAAATCTCAATGCCCTCTGAATAACAGAAAATTGAATAAGGAGTCTTAGAGATGGAAAGGACTCAAGGAACATATGGCTCGTTGACATAGAGCCACCCAGTTGCCCAAGCAGAAAATCTTTTTAGCTGACCTGTGTTAATGGTGCATAAAGCAATCCACCAGAATGTGTGTATGTGTGTTTGTGTGTGGGCTGCAGAGCTCACAGCTGCCTATAATACATCTGGAATGGCCAGCTTTCTTCCAAGAAGCTACTTGAAGAGAGCTAAATGATGACCTTAAGACAGCCAAACCTAGGAAGTCCAAGTCCTCAAGAAACTCTAGTGGCTAGTCTCAGCCAACTACAAGAGCCCTCAGTGGTTCAAAAAAAGAAATTTAGGAAACAAGAAAAAAGGCCAACACCCAGGGGTAAGATTGACCTTGGTCAAATTTGAGTACATGTGTAGGTGTCAAGGGCTTGGAACCTAGGATAAGTAGGAGAAATTGGGAGGCTAAGAGGAGGGAAGAAGGGGGTGGGGGAGAAAGGATATCTGAGTCACTGTAGCCTTAAAGAAACACTTTCCCCCCCCAAACAATAAAAAATTCTGTACATTGAAGTTGGCTCATGTTTTGATTGGCTCTGGTGCTGAGATAATAGCTTGTTATCTTTGGAAAAATGGTGCACGCACCCTCTCACTGAGTGAAGGGTAATTGTGGGGTCGAATGGCAGTCGCCAAAATCACCTCCTCTAGTCTTCCCAGGGACGGGTGGAGGGGGCTGCCAGCAGGGACCGTTTACTACGAAAGCCTGGCCCCCACCTCCTTGTTGTCCCCTCCCTCCTCTTTTCCAAGGATGACAATGCTCTGTGCAAGTCATGGGTTAGCTGGGTACCGACACTGTCAAGGTCACCAATACTGAGAGAAGATGTCCTCTTTTTGAAGAAGGCAATAATGGATAATTAAAAATAAAAGTACAAAAAAAAAAAACCAAGGAACAGGTGATCTGAAAAAACAAACAGCAAGAATAAGACAGCCCCCTGCCTCCCCATTAGATACTCCCAAAAGCCACCGTGACCAGATTGTCCTCCAACTCCATTTCCGGAGAATTCTCCCATGTCCCCACAAGAGCAAAACCCAGAAGAGAAAAGGGTGGCAGGCGACAGGGGGCATGACTGAACCAAGCAGGAGGAGGATGGAAAGGGTTAGGGTTTGCTTCGATTTTAAACCATTTCTCTCCCTTTTGTTGTCCTGATTCCACTGCCTTTCATCCCAAGAAAAGTAATGGAAAAGAAATAATAATAACAATAAATTTCTTAGGTGTAGCAGTGAGCAAACCAGCCCCAAAGGGCAAAAGGCGGCACGGAGATGGAGACCAAGGCGAGGATACGGGATGTCATCCAGGCTGAGAAGAACAGAACAAAAGATGTTTCTGGCATCGGCAGAGAGGCTGGGAGAAGGGGCTTGAGGTGGGGGCTGCCTCCCACTGGACAGAAAAGGACTGACCCGATGGGGTGAGGTTTGGTCTATGTCATTTGGTGCGGGGCCTCCAACATCTCCATCAGGAAGGTGTCAATGGGTGTATCTCCTATTAGCTTGAAGAAGAAGAGGTGCTCCAAGCATTTCAGGCCAATGGACCGGAGAGCAGGGAGACGGAGCAAGAGCTTGGCAAACCTGCAGACAGGGAGGACACTGGGAGTTAGGATGAGATGCAAATGGCAGAGGTGAAAAAAGTACAAAACCTTTTCAAAACAGACTAAGATTAAGAACTGGATGGAGTCTTAAAGATCCAAGCTGAACCATAACTGCAGAAACTGAGACCCACAGAAGAGAAGGCACTTGCCCAAAGTGATACCAGTGGGATACAGCAGAGCTGGCCATCCAACCAGGTCCTTCGCCTCCAAATCCAATGCCATGTCCACTATAGTACCCACTAGCTGTGCACCTTTAGAACCTGGAAGGTTGGTGGCTTTTATACATAGGGCGAAGAAACCCCTCCAATCACCCTGTGCATCACTTGGAGCTGGCTCTAATACCTGCCCTGATTTTAACTGGATCAGGAAAATGGATCCCCAAGAACCAAAGCAGTTTAATCGACCCAGAACCTCCCAGAGGGATGCCTCTCAAAGTAGCCTGAGAGTGACGGGATGAAGTCCCACATCCTTATAAGAGACAGAACTTTAGGAGTTCTGTAGGGATAGGGTTAGATAGAGAGAACTTTAGGAGATGAAGGTGAGAGGAAGTGAAGGCCCACAGGAAACCATCCCTGACTACTGTGGCCCCAATGAGCCCACCCTGCTCTGAACTCCTCAAGTACCTTCTATTCAAACTTAACACTTAAGTTAGTACTAGCTCCTATATCATTTTGTTTGGGGAGGTCTGACCACGTCACTCTCCTCCTCAGTAAACTCTCTAATGGCTCCCCTCCCTCTTGCCTCCAGGAACAAATATATAGTTCCTCCTAGTTTTTAAAGCACTTCAAAACTGGCCCCAACCTATTTTTCCAGCCTTAGTATATATACATTACTCTCCTTCCCACACTTCCAGTCAAACTGGCCTTCCTACTGTTCCTCATACAGGGCATTTTACCTCCTGTCTTTGCACCTCTGTACAGGCTGTCCACCCCACCCCATTCCTGGAACACACTCTCACCTCAACTTTGCTTCAATCTATTAACATTTATTAAGCACCTACTGTGGACCGGGTACTGGGTTAAGCTTCCTAGAATCTTCCCCCCCCCCAAACTGTGCTAAGCTATATATAAGAGACTTTCTTAATACCTACCCACTGCCCTCCCACTCCAATGCTTCTGTCTCAGCTGCTAGCACTTTCACCTCAAAAGATATACCCTCTATGTATTTTGCACAATTTACATATTTACATGCTGTCTCCTGGATAAACTGTAACATTTTATTTCATTTTTGTTTTTGTAACCCCTGTGCCCAATAAGTACAGTCCCAGACATATAATAGACCCTTAATTTTTTTTTCCCCATATTAAAATGTTGTCTTTCTAGCTAGACTGAATAAGTCCTTGTGGGAGAGAGAGGGAGAGGTGGGGCAGGGAGACAGAGAGAGAGACCCAAGCCCTAGCTTTCTGTCTCCCCCTGTGGCACTGAATAAAAAAACTTGTTGAACAATGGATTTCTATTTCCACGCTCTTCCTTTGGGTAACTTCTGCTTGCTCTGATTTCACTCCTCACATATCACTGTTATGACTCTGAAAGGAGATAGGGTCCAGCCACTCCTAGTGAACTTGAACCCAAGGCAACTCCCCTTAAATTTTGCAGGGAGCCCGACCTCAGGGCAGTTAAGCATGTGCCCTTCCTGCCAAGCCTAGAATGAGTCAAATGACTCCAGGAGGCTGGGGTTTCTCTTCCGGGCCCTCCCTGCTTCCCTCGCCAGGGACCTAATGTGGACTTGGGGACAGAAGGCATTCACTTCCCCACTCAGCTTCCTGGCTCTGAGCTTGGGAGTAGGGGTAGAGGATGGGGAAGGGGAGGGAGAAAGCAAAATATTAGAGCAGCATTTTAAAAAGGAGAACTCTTAAAGAGTGAGATGGTGTCATGATCATACTCAGCTGCCAATGGAGATGTGAAAAAATGTATGGCAAATAGAGCCAGAAGGGGAGACTCAGACATTTCTTTAAGCTGTTTGTAAACCTTGACTCTGCCTGGCTGCTACATACAGGGGCCCTCGGTACGGGCAATGAACACAGGGTGGGGGATGGGCAGGGGCTGAGCCTTATTAATAATTAACAATGTCTTTAAGAAAAAAAAATCCTTGTGGTTTGTTGCCATACAATCAGCATTTTAGAGCCGAAAATGCAGTTTAAAGGTTGGAGGAAGGCCAGGGAACGGGCTGTTTTCTGCTGAGCTGGCGAGAATGTTAGGCAGAAATCCAGGAAAAACAAATCAGTCCTGCCATCCCCCCCAACCCCACCCTGTCCAGGAAGTTTCACTTTAAACCGAACCAGATGATGGCTGAACAGAGCTCGGACAGTTAACCGTGAGCTTGCCAGCCCAAAGTCTGTCTGTAACTATTCCCAAGGAAGGGGCAAACTGAGGGAGAGACTACAACAGACGCCCTAGGGAAACTCTGGCCCAGTTTCTTCTGTCAAAGTGGCAATTGTGATGGGACAGAAAAACACCCAAGGAGGGTGATCAGGCACATGGGGCCATATGGGCAACTGTCAAGTTGCCTGATATGGGAACTTGCTAGCGTCTCCCTGACTCATTCCTCCAGGCAGAGGAAAAGGTATAAAACTGCCTCTGGGTTAGAGGGTGATCACGGAGGATTAGGGCTTGAGATGTTATTGATCTGTCAACCAAAGATTTACCCAAACCCAACTGAAACCTACTCTTATTACCTTGGTCTGAAAGTGAATAAAGTCAACAGGCTCGCCCCTTTAGGGAGTTGGGAGACTCCTTCTAAATGGATCTTGGCTGGGCCTTTCCTATCTGGGCAGTAAGCTGCCAAGGAAGAAGTCCCTAAAAACTGGGACAAAGGGCAAGTGTGGGTATGCAGGGGTGAGGGGCTTGAGGGGATGGGGAACACAAGGACAGAACTGGTTTACATTCAGGGAGCTAGCCTCAGAAAATAGGATAACCAAGAAACACCAGGTCTCAGTTACCAACTACACCTAGATGATTAGATATAACCTTCTTGCTCCATCCAAGGGATCTGTCAGGGGGTTGGGAGGAGGGGGGAGAGACAGTAAGTGTGATCTAAAGAAAGCCAAGGTCACTCTCCACTGACCAAACCTTAGAATCTAAGGATGGCTCCAAACAGACCCAGTGTCCCTCAATAATCTGCCACAGCTCTGTCTTCTGTGGATATCCTCAAACTTCAAATCCATGTGGAACCATATTCTAAGCTTCTACCTAGGGGAGAAGAATTCCTAAGTTCACCCTCTCATGGCTAACATTTGAGGTTTCTAAGAAACCTCTAAGAAGGGCTCTAAGAAATCTAGTCCAACCATGAATTCATGATATATTCAAGAGGTAGTCATCCAGTTCCTGTTTGAAGACCTCCAAAGACAGCTCCATTTCACCTTCAGACAGATCTAATTGTTAAGACGTAGAGGGTTCCCCCCACCCCTGTATCGAGCAGAAATCTGCCTCTTTCTAACTTCTCCCCATTGTTTCCCTAAGCCTCTCTTTCAAGAATGGCATGGGTGGGATCCCCCTAGTTCTAGGACTTTAGAATTTCAAAGTCTCTGTTCCCTATTCTCCATTTCTTTTACAGCTTCAGAGAAATGGATCACAAGGGAGAGCCATTGTCTCTCACTCTTCCACAGACAGAGTGAGGTAGAAACCAGGAAGGATGCTCACCTTCCAGGCTGGTCCGGATACTTGTGTTTGCAGTAGGCTTCAAGGGAAGCGTAAACTTTCTCTCGCAGGGCTTCTACTTCTGCAGGGTTGGAAAGTCCCTTAGAGTCTGAAAAGAAAGGAGAAATTCCAAAGGTAAGGCTCAGCTTTGGTTGTGGGAACTGGCAAATTTGAGCCTTTTCCTAGAAAATGTAAAGTGATGAACCAATGGTAAATGATCTCCAAGACTATTAGACCTACAGAGTGGGAGGGCCTGGAGAGTGAGGGCTAGTCCAGGGCTACATAGGGACTCTTTTCCTTTGAAGTTATTGAAGGTCAAACTCTACTGTCAGACTTCAATGAATCTGCACAACAGTGATCCCCACCCAACCTATCCAAATTTATTTTCCCATTTTTTACCACCACTCACCTTCTGTAGACTACTCCCTCTGCCTCAATCCATTAGCATTCCTGGCCCTGCTTCTCTCACTGTTCATATATTGAATGTAATTGTTCCTGGTTCAAATCCTATCCAAAGCCTATACTTCCTTCAAAACTTAGTTCAAATGCCACCTCCTTTTTGAAGCCTACCTTGATTGCTCTATACATCTCTCTCTTCCCTGGGCATCTATTGCACAAACAATGGATACCAGAAACTTGGATGCTTCACTGTTTTCTGTTTCCTGCGTGTCAATGTTGTCTCTCTGGCTAGACGGTGCACTCACTGCAGGCAGGGACGGGGTCATTTTTACTCTGGGTCCCCCACATCACCCACCAAGATGGGTTGCTCACAGACAACACTCAGAGAACGCTTGGTGATTGATTAGTCATTCTTCCTGGTTCATTCTTCTATCCTCCATTCCCCAGGGCTTCTCATCTTTTCTCTAATAGCTACTAAATAGCAGCTCAGTGTGGAAATAAGGAGGGTTGTTAAACTAATTGGGCTGCAGACTGATGCAGTGGGTTAAGTAGGGGATTTGGCATCAGAGAACCAGGTCTCAGGTTCTAGCTCTGCTACCTATCCCCCTGACCTTGGGGAATTCACCTTTGTTTCCTCAATTACAAAATGATGGGGCTAGACTAAATGATCTCTTAAGGTTTCTTCTGGCTTTATGGAAGCTAGGTGAGGAAATTCGATTCTCTCCTTAAATGGTACCCCACCAGAACACTATGGTGACGAAGGAAGGGAGAGAAAATGCTTGGCTCTCTCACCTCTGTGAAAAGAGAGGCCACGAGGGAGATGGTCGAAGTTATCTGAGACTGAGCTGAAGAGCATCAGGTGCTGCAGAATAAGGCCTTATGGACCAGCAGAAGTAGGGATAGGTGACACTGCATGGAGCCAATGGAGCATAAAGATGTTGTTCAAGGATCAGCCCAAGTGTGGAGAGGTTCATTACAGAATATTGGTTGCTAGAAGATGAATCTTTACTTATTTTTGCTGCAGCAACTAATAAAGATTATTTCCTTTTTCTTTTTTCCCAAAAAAAAAAAAAAGGCTTTATGTTTCCAAGACAGGATACAAGGCCACCATCAGTGACTCTTGGGGTCAGCTCCTAAGACCCTGTAAGTCCAGAATTATGCCTCTGATCAAAGAGTTTTTTGATGAAAGAAGCAGGGGAGGGAAAATTTATTGTACACCTACTATGTGCCAAGACATCGTGCTAATCTCTTTACAAATATATCATCTCATTGGGGCCTCACAACAATCCCGGGAGGTAGGTGTCATTATGATCCCCATTTTATAGCTGCCCTACCTCCTTTATGTTCAAAGGCATCTAAAATAGGCCCACCTTCCCTTAGTGACAAGCTCTAATCTGGTCATGCAGGCCTTTATCTAAAATGATATGGAGCTTCTTCCCCACCTCAACTTCCTCTTAAAGCAATGAGTTTTACAACTTTAATAACCACTAAGAAATGTAGGATGACCTGTGGTTGGTCCTGTAACTACATCCCCTTTCGTGGCATAACAGAAAAAGAGCTTAACTTGATGTGAAGAAAACCTGGGTTCACATTCTCCTTTCACTACTACTTATGTGACTACAGACAAGAGAACCTAGGCTTGAATCCAAGATCTAGAACGCACAGGGAGAGGTAAACATAGCTGGATTTGGAGTCAGGGAGCACAGGATTTGATTTCAGACAAATCACTTAACTATTCTGGGCCTTAGTTTCTTTTCTCTAAAACGAGGGAGATTAATGAGATGATTTCTAAACCACTGATTCTGGTGATTCCTACCTGGAATCCTTGCTACTCGGGAGACTGAGGCTGGCAGATCCCTTGAGCTTGGGAGTTCTGCACTGCCTTTAGGGTTAGGGTTGCAGTGGGCTGGGCTGATTGAGTGCCTGCACTAAGGTCAACAGCAAAAAATATGGTGAGCATCTGAGAGCTGAGGGTCACCAGGTAACCTAAGGAGGGGTGAATCAGCCCAGGTCAGAAATGGAGCAGGTCAAAGGTTTTATGCCCATCAGAGTTGGAAGAGACCTTTGAGTAGTCCCTGAACTTCTATTCTGGATGAGAGACAGAGAGAGACCTAATTCTTTAAAAAAAAAAAATTCTAATTTTGTCACATTTATCACCCAGGTAATTAGGTCATCCATCTTGGACAAGTCATTATAGAGACCTCACTGTCCTCCTCTGTAACAATGAAAGAGCTGGACTAGATGGTCTCTTCAGAATCTAAACTGATGATGATGACGACGACGACGATGATGATGATGATGATGATGATGATGATGATGGTGATGACGATGACAACAACAATGACGATTATGATGACAATGCAAGCATCCTAAATTTGACCAACAATTTCTCATCCCTCTTCTCAAATTTATAGATTTTGCTTCTGTACCCTTCTAGCACTCAAAACCTAGCATATGAGAGGCACTCAGGAAATATATACATATGGTGAGGATTATTCAAAGAAACAGTGCAGAATCACACAGCTGGAAAGGACTTTAACAAACATCTATCCAACCTCTTCATTTTACAATGCAGACATTTTAGCATAGAAAAGAAAATGCTCTTTCCAAAGTAATAAGTAGCAGAGCAAGGATTTGAACCCAGGATTTCTGACCTTTTCTACTACATTCCCACTTCCTCATCAATCTACGTCAGGGCCTCCTTTAAATTTCCCTAAGTTCTCCCAAACCAGTGCCCCTTTCTTCCCAGGTCTGCACTATGCAGGCTAGGGCTAGCTTCTCCAGCTGGATAAGATCCAGAGCTCAAGGAGCAGGGGTAACATTTATGAGGCTGTCATAGTTAAACTGTGAGGTAAAGACTACGGAAGGATGAATGGCCCTGTATCCTAGAGTGGACATTTTTAACTGGTTTGGCAAAGCAAAGTCCTATCTCAATGTGGTAATACTTAAGGACTATACTGTATGATCTCATCACACCACCCTCCCTCCCTCATTTCCCATTTGGACCTGTCCCCTCCAATCTGTCTATTAATTTTTCCCCTTTCGTCTCCACAACAGACATTCTTGACCCTCACTGCCGAGGTTATAGGTTTGCCAAGTTTTCTTTCTTGCTCTCTTTTTACGGCTTCCAAGATCTCTGGAGATCAAATTTGCCATAATCTGTCCTAATTCCTCCCTCTTCTTCACCCCCCTCTTCTCAACCTTCACTTGACATCTCTGCTCAAACGGGTTTCTTCCGTCTGACTCTAAGCCCTTACCAAACACATTCTGCGGGAGCCATTCAAAGACCGTTTCATGAGATTACAGACTCAGAACTGGCAGAGACCTTAAATGTTCAACATCTCCAATTTTATATAGATAGAGAAATATATACACCCGGAGTGGTCAAGTGACTTATCTATGGTCACCCAAATAGTAAAGGACAGACCCTCTCTAACTTTAGACCCAACATTACTTCCTTTAAAAAGCTTTACAGGCAGCCCTTGCATCTTACTCTACATTCTACAGAAATGTTTGCCGAATTCCACATCATCCCATTCCCTGGGTAGTGAATGGACTTGCTTTCTAACCACCCTCCAAATCTAAGAACAAGAGCATGGCAAATTGAGCCAGTCATGGTGGATTAGGCCATTTGGGCTTTTCTTATGGGAAGGTGACCGTCAATCATTGGTGACAGCTGAGTACGTCAGCGTAGTACATAGTAAAATTGCAGCAGGCTAAAGAGAACATATGCATTTTGGCAACTAGGTAACTTCGAATCACACCTCTGCTTTTTTTTTCCCCTACTTCTCAACTCTACATTATCTGAGGGGCTCTAGCTGCTCCTTCCTTGGAGAGTGACCTGAGCAAACCAAGCCGCTACGAAGATTTGGACTGAGTAATTGATACATGGAAGCTGGAGGACGTGGCTAACTTAAGTGACTCAGACACATTTAGATGAAGGATTATAGGCTATTAACACAAAATTATGTTGAGTAATTTCCCCAGGAAGGGAAACTCTTGTAATGGCTATCAATGAAAAAAATGACAATTAATATGGCTTTCATCTTACAGACTGTCAGGGATGACATAATAGTGTCTTGACTGCTCTGAATAAAACCACAGAATATATCCCATAATGTTAGTATAGAAAAGACTCTGGAAATTTTGCAATCCAATGACCTCCTTTTACAAACATGGATAGCAAGGTCCAGAGAAGGGAAGTGATTGGCTAAGGGTCATATGGCTATTAGCTAATCAACTAGTAAGCATTTATTAAATGCTGCTCTGTGACAGATATTGTGCTAAGTGATGACAAACAGAAACCAATCACTGCCTTCAAGGAGCTATAAGTCTATCTTTAATAAGTGGAACAATCAGGACTTAGAGCCCAGCTCTCTTGACTCGGGCCAATGCTTTCTCTACAGCTGTTACAAAGCCTATTTCTAAAGGGCCCCGCATAGAAATTGCAAGAATAAAAACTGCTGAGACCTGCCTCTTACCACAACCTTGCAATTTAGCCTGGGGCCCCAGCCTCAGAGAAGTCAGGCTAGTTACTGCTAAGAAGGAATCAATGGGTTTCTCTCACAAGCTCTGCCCATCTCAACTGGAACGTTAATGGCAGAACTTCTGAATTCTAGTGGAGAATGTGAGGATTCTACCAGAGTTGGAAGATTCTACAAGGAAGACGGCTGGAAGCAGGGGCAGCAGAGAAAGAGCAGGGCTGGGGGAAGAGGAATCTGCATGTGGGGGAAGGAAAAATAATAAAACCAAAGAGAGATACTCTAAAGATAAAGAAACACTGTGAACCATAAAGGCAAAGCACGGCTATTTCAAAATGGGGTTCTCAAATGATAGTCAAGACGCCTAGAGGGTCCTTAACCAAAAACATATGGGAATTGCTGTTCACCGAGTTTGAGAACATTCAAAGAATCTGGAGTTGGTCCCTGGCCCCAAGTCCCCGAGTCCCCCATTATATGCAATCTGATCTTTCAGTTCCACAAGGAAGAACCATGTAAATGATATGTTGTTACTGCAGATCTCACTGGCTCTGGAGACTGGATTTGCTTTTCTTTTTTTTTTTCATCCAGAAGGGAAGAAAGGACATACCCGGATTGAAGAGGACAATGGCTCTCAGGCAGCCCAGCTCTGTCTTGTCCATCTGCATGTCTCGCATTTTTGACACAAGTTCTGTCAGGACTCTGCAGGGGGAAGGAAACACAGAACACAAGACACCCCATCAGACAAGGGTTCCCCCCTCTTGGAGATTACTCTGACAAAGTGTCAGGACATTCTGTCGCTCTTGAGTGATAAAGCAGGACTGAAACTGGGAATAACTTCTGAAGAAACTTTAAAGAGGGAATGTCAAATCAGGGAAAATTTTGCAAAACCAGTGAGAGAGTGAGAGAGAGTGAGAGTGAGTGAGAGAGAGAGAGAGAGAGAGAGAGAGAGAGAGAGAGAGAGAGAGAGATAACATAAAATGTAACTCTTCTGCCAACTCTTTTGAGTATTCATTTTTGTGTGTTATTGCAAGTGTTTGTGTTTAAATGAGCTCTTTTCCCTTCACACACCAATGTCTGTTTAGATTTGGCTCAAAGACACAGGGAGCAGGGTCAATAATTATTAAACTGGAGACTGGAGATCAAGGAGAGGGTGATGTTAACAACTGGGTAGAAGTGAGTTTGGAGTCTTGCCCCTGCCTTCATGTGGCCCTGTCTGATGGCCAAATCCTACCACTCTTGAGTTGATCAGCAGCTGAGACTGGGTGGTAGGTACTGACCCGCTCTATACCAGCATACTCATCTGTTCAATGGGCACAAGGACTCCCATTTCACATAGCAATGCCATCTAGCTACTGTTTTGTCAAACCCTGGCACTCAGGGAATTCCCATAGAGCAAAGCTGTTTATGGGTCTATGCCCGTGGGTTCCACACATCAGAGAGAGCTGTTTCCCTGAGATATGGATGACAGGAATGAGGAAGGGAGGGAATCCAGCTTCTCTGCAAGGGCTCTTGTGTTCCTTGGAAAATAGAGAAAGTCAAGTCAGCAGCAAAGGGATGGGGAGGAGGGAGGAGGAGCCTCTCTACTTGAAATAAGGTGCCACTGGCCATCTCAAGCCCCACCCCTTCAATACAAGAGACCCCAGGTATTGTAGATCACATAATCAAGTGACTTAAAGGTCACTTAACCTTTCTAGGCCTCAGTTTCCCCAACTTTACAATGACTAGTTAGGACTAGGTGTCTTCTATGGACCCTTCTAGCTGATGATATGATGATTCTGTCTCTCATGAGGGTAGATCTGTGGAAGGCTGGTATCTTCATTTGGCCAAAACATGACATTCCCTTCATAACATGTTACAGATCTCTCCTCTAGAAATTAATTCTTCATCTAAAAATTTTTGGAGGCTACTTCTGCTACTAACCTGTATCAAGTCTCAGAGAAACATTTCTATAAATTTATTCCTCAGTTTCTTAAAATCTCCTCTTTTAAGGTTCAAGTGGAAAACTTCTAATTTTTTTATCCAGAGTTTAAGGGTACACTCTTACATCGTCTGATCCCTCCATAACTTTACAGACTGTGAGGCCCTATTTCCCTTCCATTTCTTTTTCTTACTAAACTGTGCAGCCTTCATTTCTTCAGTTTCTCCTCACTGAGCAGCTCCTACATTGTGCTTAATTGTTTGAGCTTCCCATCTCCGGGTCCCCTCTAGCTCTGTCTACTTTTTGATAAGCTGTGGCACCTAGACATAGTTTTCTAAATGCAAGCCCACTGTAGGTTTATGTATGGATTGTCTAGACTAATAACAGAGATTACAGAATTGCAAAGAACTAGATCTTAAGAAAGCATTTACTCCAACCCTCTTGTTTTACACATGAAGAAACTGAGGCCAAAGGAGTGAAAGTGACTCACCGATGGTCACATGGGCTGGTTCATGGAAGAACTGGGATGAGAAACCAGGTCTTCTGTCTCTTTACCCATATCTCCTCAAAAGCACACTCAGATCAAATATCCCTTCAGGCTGATGGATCAAAGGGAGAAGACCCTAACCCTACCCTCTCTAATAGGATTCCCCTTCCATCCCCCAAAGTCCAATCCCCACCTGTCAAAGATGGCGCCCACCCCTGCACTGTGAGCGCTGTTCCTATGGACGTGAAGGCCGGTGGCAAGAAGGATCCCATCTTTCACTGCTATCGAGCGGTGAGAGAACGAGGCGATGAGCAGCTCATTCCAGCCTGTAGGGAAGGGGGGAAGAGGACACATATTGATCTCCAGCCCCTAATGAGCTCTTCCTTTCTCCAACACCTTTCCCACTTGTCTGTCCACATGCAATTAGCACATTATGTATAAACATGGTCCTGTTTCCTAATTGTACGTAATGCACACTTTAGTTCATTATGCTATCAGGGCATAATGCTGATTTACACGGTCTGACTAAAATGTATAGGTAATCTGAAAGTTCTTAAGAAATGTACAAATGCAGTCTTCCTACTGTTGCATGCCAAGACCACTAGTTGGTGTTAGAAGTGTGTCTAATAATTGAACTAGTCACAATCCGGGTAAAAATAAAAAAGCAATGATACAAAGTGAAGAATTCTTTTCTGACATTCAAAGTAAATAGATCTTAGAGTTTTATTAGAAATGGAAAATTACAGAATCACAGGGTGTTCGATAATAGATAGGAGATTATACTGGAGGGGAAAGAGTACTGGATAAAAAGCCAGTTGACCTGTGCGATCTTAGACAAATCTTTGTATTTACTTATTTACATGCTGGATCCTCCTACTCCCTTCGCCCCAACCCCCAGCAGAATAAGCTCCCGGAGGTAAGGGATTTTCCAGTTTTGTCTTTGTATCCATCCCCAGCACTGAGCATAGTGTCTGGCACATAGGAAAAGCTGACTAAATCTTGGTGCAATTGAAATCACTTGATTTCTGCGGACATCTAGATGAAATATCCATTTTTTTTTAAACGGGAGGAGGGGAAGCATGTGAGTGACCCTTTCCATTGTTAACCTTCTGAGATTTTAGCCCAACTACTTCATTTTACAGAAAATGAAATTAAGGACCAGAAAAGGGAAATTCACAGAGTAAGTTAGGCATGGCATCGGCTCTAGAATCTAGGTCCCCTGACTCCCAGAATAGTGCCCTTTCCACCACAGGCAGCTCCAATTGTTTCACCTAAATTCATCTGGTCTCCCTAGCAAGAGCCATGAGCAATGGTGGGGGGCAAGGACTTCTCCCAAGCTCTCCATGGCATCAAGCACAGGGCTGGGCTCAGGGCAGGCACCAACTGGCCGACATGAAAGGTGAGAGGTTAGTGGAGAGGGTGCCTGCCGGGGGAGTGGGGAGAAGTGGCAGCCCCCCAGCAGTGCCAGCACAGCTTTCAAGGCCAGCTGCGCAAGGGCCAAGGAGAAGTGAACTTCCCAGGGGGAAGACCTAGGGTGGGGCTACATGCTTGGCAAGTTCATACAAGCAGCAGAAGACTTGTTACAAACCATTCTCTCCATTCCCAAGCAAATTCATGTGCCTTCCCCAGCACAGACCAAAATGTACAAATGATTCCCGGGATGGCAGGACCCAGAAAAGGATCCTGAAGAAATGGGGTATATGGACGTGTGTGAATACGTCTATTCAGGAGCACAGCATCACTTTAAAGTACAACCAAGAGATAAAAATCACATTTTCCAAGAAGCAGAGTGTGCTTGGTAACTAGATACATCACAAAAATCCACCAGAGAATTGTCTTGAATTGTGAGTCCACCCAGAACACTGAAAATATGATTACATTTGTGAAAACCTCTACTTCTTGGGCTCATGATAGCCACTTCATTAATGCTTGCTTCATTTGTTGGTGAGTGCAAAATCCCTTGGATGATTTAAGGTCCACCTGGATGGAGCATTCTAGGTATCTCCCAAAATCAGTAATTCCTTGAGCTTATAAACCAGTGATTCAATTTAGCAACCCCTTTTCCTTATATTTAATCACACGGGGAGAAACTGCATCAGGAGGTCATGTGGTCTATTCCTATGCCTCTGCAACATACCTGATGTAAGCCTTTCTACAGTAACAGAATGTACCTATATTTCCAAGGCCTCTGGACTACCCAATAGCCTTTGCAAAGGAGAACTAAGTATCCGCTAGATTTATAGATCTTAAATGTGACCAAATGACATCATGAACTATAACCCCTCATAGAAAGGAAAATCCTTAAGACACCAACTTGTTTTGTTTTTTCATTTATATTCTCATATCCAGCACAGGCAGCATGGGATAAGGGAAAGAACACTGGGATTTTGAGTCCGAGGATTTGGGTTGAAATCCTGGCTCTGCTACTCAATAGCAGACTGAGTAAGAGTCTCACTCATTTCTCTGGCCACTCACTTCCTCATCTGTAAAATGACAGGGTTGGACGAGAGGCCCCTTCCAGCTCTAGACCCGGCACAGAGTAGTAGGTGCTTACAAATGTTATGTTTGATGGATTAACTACTTAATAAATGTCTATTGAATCACAACAGAAAGAACACCAGAAATTGTGCCAGAAGAGACACGGGTATATTAGACAATCCCTAAGGAGCCTCCATTTTACCTTTCCATCCACTAACTTTCCACCAAGGAGCTAGGTGGCAAGGTGGACAGAGAACTAGGCCTTGGAGTAAGAATCACTTGAGTTTAAATGCAGCCTTAGATACTTACTAGCTGTGTGGGCAAGTTATCTAGCCTGTCTGCCTCAGTTTCCTCAACTGTAAAAGGGGATAATAACAGAGCCTACCTCCCAGATAGGAACACATACCCTCAGCTGAAATCTACATTTCACTAAATTTTAAGGTTTTTTGAGTTTTTTGTTGTTAGGATCAAATGAGATGATATTTAGCACAGTGCTTAATAAATCCATCCTTCCCTCCTTTCCTGATGTATTTACCGTTCAGTTCCTACAAGTTCCTGACCAGGCTCAAAAGATCTGGGTTCTGCTTTCAGTTTTGTACTGACTTGTTCCAGAAACTTAGGAAATTCACTAACTTTTGGGGTATCAGTTTCTTCTTCTGTCAAATGGAGAGAAGAATCATTGTTTTCTCTAAAGCTCAGTTATACCAAGAGAGACAATAACTCACATGAATATAGTACTTTAACGGGCTAAGAAGTACTTTCTCCCACAAAAATTCTGGGAAGTAGGTAGTGGACATATTACTATCCTCGTTTTACAGATGAAGAAGATGAGGCTCAGAAAGCTGGGGTGATTTGCCCAAGAGGATACGTGTAATAAATCCCAGAGCTTGGTATTTTCTTCTATTTCTTGCTTTTTGGGGGAGGAGGAAGAGGGGGAGAAGTGAGTATAACAGCTAATGTGGAATTTTTTTTTTTTGCATGCGCACACATATTTGTAATGGATTTTATTTTCCTTGCCTTCTCAATGGTGGGAGAAGGGGACAGGAAGGGAGAGAATTTGGAATTGAAAATTAAATAAAAACTAAATTTTTAAAAGCCCCAGAGCTTGGATTTGAACAGAGATCTCAGGATACTAAGTCTACTGCTATCTTTCATAACCTCTCTCTGTCTTTTGAGGATCAAATGAGCTAAAGAATGAGCCTGTCCTTTGAAAAGTAAGAAGTACACCACAAACATAGGGGATTATTATGATTATTATCACCACAGATTCCAGGAGCTCAGTTAGACAAGTCCTATCGCTTCCTTGTCATTTCTGATCTGAAAGACAGAGGGGATGATTTTAGAAAATGGCCTAAGGTCTTTAGACAGGGGATCCAACAATGAGTCAGAGGAGGCAACACGTGGAGAAAACAAGCTTGGGAAAAACCTGAACGACCATCTAATCCAACCCAATCACTTTACAGATGGAGAAACTGAGACCCACAGAAGGGGAAAAACTTGCTCAAAATTAGAAAAAAAAAAGATGCAAAAGGCAATCACCTATCTTATACATATCTGCTTGCCATGATGAGGGGAAGAGGTCAAGGGGAAAGGGGAATTTTAAAAATAAAGGCAAATATACCAAGTTCTGCCCTATAGGCCTAATCTCATAAATGTGTCCTCTGTGTCACTAATCCACCAGAATATCAACTCAATTGCAGAAAAAAAAATTAATGCTAAAAAGTAAATGTCTTGTAAGGGACACATACCCTCATCTGGGTCTACATTTTAAGTTTGTTTGTTAAAACTTCACATACTAAAAAAAGGCTCCCATCACTGGATGACTCTCAAAGATGTAGACTCCATGCCTAGTCACTCTAATCGCATGCTCTCTCACACCAGAGGCAGTTTTGCCCTTGCTGAGTCCCCAAAGCCACAAGATTTTCAAACCTTTAAGAATTCATAGACAGACAGGGGAAGGGGGTATGGTTGGTCTCCTTCTACTGGCCCAAGGACTCAGTTCCATTTAATTTTCCTGAGGTGGATGCATGAATGAATTCAACCACTGCTCTTAGCTAAGTTATAATCTTTAAATATTTTATGTGCAGCTGTTCACCATGGGCTGCTCTCTGTACTCAATAATACATAAAGCCATTGGTTAGACTTCTCTATGGAGGTTATCCGAGGCTCCACTGGATAAAGACACCGGGAGTGAGACCCTGCATGGCGATGTCCATGAGCTCCCTTTTCTAGGCAGCACAAGGATCATGAGATCACAATACAGACATATTATGAGGAAAGGAGAAATTCCCTGTCCTGTGAGTGGTGATGAGAATTCTAGTTATTGCATCCAGGAAAGCTGACTAACTAGGGCTGGAGTTCTTGATCCATGTAGACCAAGATGGGTCCTGGAATTAAACAGGAGACACCATCAAGACCAACTGCCTCTGGGAATGATAAGTTAGCTCCTGAAAGCTAGAACTGTTCACCACAAATTAGCTGAAGTGTGCACTGTTATTAAAATTCTTGGGACATTCTTGGTAGGCCCATCTTCATCTGTAAACTGAAGGGACTAGACTAGATAATCACTAAGAGCCCTTCCAACTTCTGACATTCAATGCTCTTTCCCTTCTTTTTTTAATATTTTATTGTACTAAGATTAAGGTACCTTTCAAATCTGATGGTATATAACAACCTATTTTTTAAAATATCCTCTCCAGAGTTAACATTCTATGATGAATGAATGAATGAATAAGCATTTATTAAGCACTAACAATATGCAAACTATGAAAAATGAACTCAACTAGAGGCAGCTAGGTGGCTCAATAGATAGAGAGAGCTGGGTCTGGAGTCAGGAAGACCTGAGTTCAAATCCAGCCTCAGACACACACGAACTGAGCAAGTCACTTACCCTCTGTTTGCCTTAATCCACCAGGGAAGGAAATGGCAAACCACTCCAGTATCTTTGCCAAGAAAACCCCATGGACAGTATGGTTCACAAGGTCACAAAGAGTCAGACGTGACTGAACAACAACAATGTGCAAAGCACCGTGTTCTATGAACTATGTTTTGAGGTCCTTTCCAATGATAACATTGTCTATAGTCCAAGTACACAATATTTTCTATCTCATGACTATAAAGATCTTCACTAAAAAGAAATAAATTCAGTCATCTGGCCCCTCCGCAAGGGGTCCCCCAAGAAGTTAAGCCTTTGATAAGTGCAACTCAAAAGTCAAATTAAAAGGCAAACTTGACTCCCTGAAGCCCAGCTCCCTAAAAAGCAGTGCTTCTACACTGAAAGCTAACACAACCACCCACAAAGTACATCTGTGTTGTATGCATCAATGATGCTCTTACCAATGGGATAAGTTTCTCCACACTCTGTCTTTCAGACAGGATTAGGCTTAAGGTAAGGAGAAGTTTTAAGTGCACAGACTGAAGAGTTGGGAAGAATTACAGAAATTGTTTAGTCTACTACTCCCGTTTTACATTTCAGACTTAAGAGGCAGATTTGAGTGGTGTGACTGGGGCAAGATCATAAAGGTGCTGAGCTAGCAGATGTGGCCTAGGAAGCCAGGCCCCCTGACAACTCCAGGTCCAGGGCTCTGCCCACTACTCTGCCTTGCCTCTTACTAAGGAAATGTAGATAAGACTTGAAAACAAGAAGAACCTAAGAGGTGAGCAGGATCTTAGAGAACCTCTCATCTAATACCCTCATTTCATAGATGAGGAAACTGTGTATGTGGGTAGGTGGATGCACACACAGGCACACTTGTGTGTATGTGTGTGTGTCTACTCTGTGTCCACATGCAGTCTTAGAGGGGATAAGTCACGTGCACAAAGTCACCCAGAAAATGAGAACAAGAGTCTTCTGACTGACAAGGCCAGTGTTATTTCCACTACTGCATATTACCCACATTATGTCCTGTTTTCCATGGTACAGACAGGATATGGGGAGGGAAGGAGAGAGGGAGAGGGGGAGGGAGGGAGGGGAGAGAGAGACAGAGAGACAGAGACAGAGAAAGTGACAGAGTCAGAGAGACAAAGACAGAGACAGAGATAGAGAAAAGAAGTAGAGGCAGATTCGTGTTAGGGGCCAATGAAACTACAGAATATGTCCCCGGTATTCGTGGGAAAGGAAGCTAAGTTGGAGTGGAAGGAAAAAACAGAAAACTGCTGTGGGATCAGAGATAACATGGTAGAATTTTCCGGGCATTATTTGGACAATACTGACTGAGAAATTTCTTCCTAGAAACTGAACAGTCAACAAGAGGCGCTGATAATTTTTTTGGTGGGGGGAGAGCAAAAGGGAACAAGGTAGATTAAGGCACTCAAAGGAAATGTCTTTACCCCAAGCAGTTACTCTAAATTACTCCTGTTTCTACCCCCACCCCACCCCCCACAATGTAATGGGTGTGTGTGTGTGTGTGTGTGTGTGTGTGTGTGTGTGTGTGTGTGTTTTTAATGAGCAGTGGCAATTCACAGTGCATGTCTAGAGCATTCTGCCCTGTAAACTAGCCAATCAGATAGGGAAAAAATCATCTCTCAACATTCCACTCAGCATATAATTATATCTTTTACATCCTGAGCACTAAATGGAATTTGGGTTTCAATGTCCCAGCCTCCGCGTAACCAGATCCCACCCCCAATATGGGCCAAGTTGTCTAGTTGACTTTTGGGGGTCTTGGGCTGCTGCAGGAAATGGGCCCTGCAACTTTTCCCCAGTGACCCACAACTTGGTTTTTTGCCACTAAACATGATGCTCCACACTGGCTCTGTCAGAAAATAACGGAGGCTCAAGCTTCATTGGGCATAAAGGGTAGCATTTCCTCACATTCTCCTAGTGGCAAGAAGAGCTTTAAATGGCATGTGTTCCTTCCAGCTCATAAGCAGATAGGGCTGGTTGGACATGAGTCTCAGAGTGTCAGACCTGTAAGAAGCTTGTGACATCACAGACCTCAAATCCAACCCCATTTTATAGAAGAGTTCATTGAAGACAAGAAACAACCTCCCCAAGACAATACAGTGTCTGGCAGCAAAGCTGAGACTAGGATTCAGCTCGCCCAGTTCCAAGTCCAAGGTTCTTTTCACTACACCATGCTTCCTCTGTGCCTATTAGTACCACAATCCCAGCCGGGTCCCTTGAATAAAATCCTCAGATTTGCATGAATGTCATTTTGGCTTGATTATTCTTCTTCTCCCCAAGGGCATATCACCCTTTTGGTGGGATTTTCCCAAACTAAAGTTCAAATTCAAGAGTGTTAATTATGGTCAAGAAGTTTGCAGAAGTAGCAAGAAACTGAGAGAAAGGGTGTTGGAGATATGTTATAGGATGAATGCCTTAGAGTGTTAAGAAAACCTTGAAATTAAGGCTCCAGGAGAATGGATCAGGAGGTTACCAGTGATACTTGCCAGCAGGCTCTCCTGTCTACTAAGTCTGACAGATTAAAGACATTAACCCATTAGGTGCCTCCTGAGATCAGTCCCCTCATTCTTCTAAACTGTGGTCCTTTCTCTGATAGGGAGCCCTGGTGAATGGTTTGAAGAAAACTATAACTGCATCACAATGTCAATCTCAAAAACATGAAGGACCTTCCCAAACGGCAGCCCCAACTTACCTTCCTCCCATTATGCACCTGTCATTTATGAATCTACCTTAACCCTTCCTGAATCTGATCATTTTTAAACATCTCCACAGCTGACTGTGTGAAAGGCCTTATGTTAGGTGCTTGGGAGGGGGAAGGAGGGAGGAAATGCAGAGATAAATAGGAAATGATCCTTGACCTTGAGGAGCTTAGAAGCTACATTAGTAAAGGAGAAATGACATACACATGAATTGCCATGATGCACAATTCTAGACATTTTATTCTACAGTGGCTAAATTCCAGTGGCTGGGGTTCTAATTGTCCTAAAACTTCCTCTTTTGAGCTATAAAGGGAAAAAGCTGTGTATAATCCATCTAGCATTCTGGGATTTGGTAAGTAAATCCTAGCTTAATGGCTTCAGAGACTTCAGTCCTACCTATTTTCTGCCTTTTCCTTTCCAGGCAAAAGGATCTCAAAGGTAGCAGCAGCTTCTTCCCCTGTGTCCCAAAGCCAGGTCTTGCCCTAGGTAGGAAGCCTCACTTACCTGCTCGCAACAGAATGACCTGGTCATCCAGAGGCAGCTCTGAGAAGTGGGGGATTCTCTTGGCCCATTCCACCAAGGTGAAGAGCTGTTTGTCTGCTGCTTGGCATATGTTCGTAACAGGGTCGTTGGGCTGCAAACAGACAGAGGTACCATGAGAGGTAGGAAAGGCATACATGTGGGAAGAGGGGATAGGGGCTGACCCTACTAGGATCACTCTCACTCAGGGTGAGACTTAAACTACTGTCCAGAGGGGCTGAGAGACAATTAGGACTCAGCTCCAGGCTGCATGTACTTTGCCTCAAGGGGTGGAGAACCCTTCTAAAAATTTATTTCCTGAAGAAAAGTCCTTCCTAGATTTATGGAACCTCAGAACTGGAAGGGAGGTCAAAGGTCATCTCTAGTCCAACTCATACCTGAACAACAGTCCTTTCTACAATAACCAACCCAGGGCAAGTGGGAGTCCAGACTTTGTTTGAAGACCTCAAATAAGAGACTCTGGAATCCACGACTTCTTGAGGCAGCTCATTCTATTTTTAGATAACTCTCATTTACATTAAGCTTAAATTTGGCTTTGTACAATATTCAACCACTGTAGCTAGGGCCAAGCAGGACAAATCTAATCCCGATAGTCCTTCCAGTGTTTGAGGATGGATATTATGACCCCTTTTAAGTCTTCTTAAGCATCTACATCTTCTTCAACAATCTTTGTAGGTCATCTGTGCCCTTACCATCCCTGCTGCTTTCCTCTACAGGAACTCCATTGGGTCAAAGTCTTTCCTACAATATGGCATCCTCTGATGCTCCAGATGTGGCTGGACCACAGTAGAGGGCAGTGGCACTGTACCCCTCCTGTCCTACACACTACAACTCCAGAAATGCAAATTTCTAGGACAAATCACATTAGCTTTTTCAGATGCCACATCACCCTTGTGACTGAAAACCTCTCGATCTTTTCCCACAGAAACTACTGACCAACCATTTCTCCCACGTATGAACTGGCCAAAACCAACTACAATCATTTCTTCTGATCCAGCCTCTCCCTGACAATTGTATTTGCAATTTCTGAATTTCGTTTTTTCTTGACTTAGCATGAGACATATTTTTAAGATGTTAAAGTTTGCCTAATTTGTTAAGCTAGGTGAAGGAAGAGATCACATTATTCACTTACAGGAGATGTGTGCATTGGGGGTGGGGTGGGGGAGATACCAGTAGAAGGCTGAGAGCTGAGATCTGAGCACTGACCATTTGGAACTAGCAGCAGAACCCAAGGTTGAACCAATGCATGAGGTGCTGCTGTTAAGAGAGCAGTTTCTCGGTCTGGTGGGCTAAATGGTTATGACTAAGATGGGAATGCTAGAATCACTGAACTCTGGAGCTGGATGGGGCCTCAGAGGGCATCTAGTCCAGCCACTCACCAAGCACAGGGATTCCATCTACAAGATCCCTGAGAAGTGACCATTCAGCCTCTTCTTGGATGCTGCAGTGAGGGGGAGCTTATCCCATCCTGACACAGCCCATTCTATTTTCTCATAGCTCTCATTTTTAGAGCTGAGAACTGCTTCTCCCACCTACTTATTTTTTTCTTTTGCTAAAATCTGCACTTTATTTTTTTAATTTATAGAATAAAACAAGCATTTCCATAACACAGTATAATAAAAAAGATGATTGTACATGAAACTACAAATCTACTATGTACAAATTGCTACTCCTTTCAAATATACAACAAAGTTTAAAAAAAAAAGAAAAAAATTTCCACCTACTTATTATCACTTATTGGTTCTAGTTCTAGCCTCTGAGGTTATGAAAAATAGGTCTACTCTTTTTTTCATATAACAGACTATCAGCTATTGATCATGATGACACCTCATCCTCCCCATCCCCCAACCAAGAACGTGAGCTTTGGCACAGGTTCATCCACACGTGGATTACTTTAATTGTTCTAACAGCCCCAAACAGACCCGGACGCCCTGTGATGAGTAACCCAAAGTAGATGATTCTACTGAGATTAATCTACCTTTATCTTATTTCTTAGGCAACTCTAAGAAGATAAATTACAGAGAAAATGCTGACTTGCTCTCAAAGAGGGTGTTTTCTTACCTGGCAATTTCCTATGTAACAGGTCCAGTATCTATTTCCAGCCCTATTTCTTATGTGACGACGCATGATAAATTCTAGAATTCATTTCCTTTCATACTGAATAGAGGATACTGAAAGGCTTACTGAAAGCCAAAGGATATGGGGACCTACAAGGTTTGGGAACTCCTGGTCTAAATTATCCCTGGGGTCTGCTTATGAAGTGTCCAGAGTGAAGTATATGTAGCACACTATCTGGGGCTATCAGAGCTTTAAGGCTCCAGGCAAATAACAGGAGAGCAAACTGAGGTAAGACTTTCTAAACCAAGTGAGCTCAGACTAGGTAGGGGCCCCTACCACGCTCCAGCACCGCCTTGGACTTTAGCAATGATCCTTACTCAGCACCTGGCATCTAGTAGACAATTGGAAAAGGAAAGACAGAGCTTGAGAACTTCACCCAGTTAATGCCAGAGCCACTGGCCTTTGATTGACACCCTGGCTGCTCCACTTCCTAGGTGTATGATGTTGGGTAAGCCACCACGCCAGCGCTTGGCCCAATGCCTCGTATATAGTAGCACCCAATGAGCATCTCTTGAATTGGATTCAACTGAACGGACCCAGTCCCAACTTCCTCATTTGAAAAAAAAAATAAGCCTACTTATTTCACAGCGCAATTATAGGGATCAAATGAGATAACAGATGGGAAAATCCTCAGGAAACTTCAAAGTGATGTAAGCATGTGAGTATGCTTTATTTTTCTGGACCAATCCTGTGATTTTATTGGTTTAGGGAATTCCCAGTGAGGTACTCTCTACCAAAGCAGTCTAGCACCTGCTCTGCCAATGAGAGTCTAAGCAGGGATTGCTTGTAAGCATCAAGAGCGGCTTGTTTAGGGTCATATTACCAGTCTGCGTCAGGAGTGGGATTTGAAACCCAGATCTTTCTCATTCTGAGACCACGTCCCTTTCCACTACCCCACATCTAATACACCTCTCTAGAAGGTATTATTTATATAATTATCCTAGTTCTCCAACAAAAGGCTGAAAGGGAAAAAGTCCCCCTTCTCCCCCCTACCCCACCCCCAACTCCCAGTCCCCTTCTTCTTATCGATTCGTCCTGCAAGGGATTGATTTCCACATGAGCCGGGTGCTGGAATTTCATCATTCCATAAAACACAACAACTGAAGCATTGCAGCGGGAGAAAAAATACTTCCCTTTGAAATACTACCTAATAACGAAAACCATCTGCTCTTTAGTAGGACGTGCAGTCTAAACAGACCAAATCCCTGTTTAAAGAAACTGCTAACTGCTCAAGTGGGACGGCGATTACAAATTGGATGACGAGATCCGCCGCAGTGGTTTGAAAACCTTAGGGACTGGAAAAGGGGGCAGGGAGGAGGCGATACGGGTAGATGGATGGATTTCATCGAGAAGCGTGGCTTGCTGGGCTACACTAAAATCACAGGATAATGCAATGGTCAAATAGGAAGAAGCCTTAGAAGGCATCTAGTCCAAGATTTGTTGGACCTGGTTCTTCCAACAGCTCAGTTCTGGTGAAGGCAGATGCCTTAAAGCTCAAGTCCCATCTCTAGCACGGGGCCATCCCTGGCCTCCAGCCACCCTTTTTCTCCTATGAATTCTTACGTGCTTAAAGCTTGAAACTTACAAACGAGCACTGAATTAATTAAATGGCAAGCCCCTAGAGAGCAGGGTCTATGCCGTATTTCTCTGGTATACCTGGTGCCGAGTAAAATACACACAGTACATGAGTGTAATGATGAATTTGATTCTACACTGTTCTCTGTCTCATGCCTTGATTTCCAAACTAGACAACATGATCTCCTAGAAAAAACATTGGACCTGAAGTTAGGAGACCTGGGTTCTATTTCTGGCTGAACCACTTAGTTAACTGTACAGCCCTGTACAAGCCACTACCCTTCATGTGGGCCTGAGCTAACTCTTCTGTAAAATGAATAGAGAGTAGGATAGAGAGTAGGGCTGGACAGGATCCTAAAGGCCCATAAGCATCTTGATCATAGAATGTGAGGGCTGGAAGGGACCATACAGTGAAGCCCAGAGAGTCCTATGTCTCCTAGAATTCAATCCACTCATGTTACATACTCATTTGATCAAATCTCTGCTTTTTTTCCCCCTACATTCCTCATAATGCATAAAGATTTGATAAAGACCTGTTAATTAATTTATTAATCTAAAACTTCACAGTAAACATACCGAAGTCGGAAAGCATCCTGTTCCTCAAAACATCCCTTTCTAAAACAAAGTAACCTCATGTCAATCATCCCTGACTCAGGTTGTGCAAATCCTCCAGGTCAAATGAAGATGACAGTTCTGATAATGGAAGGTACAACCTAGAGAAGTGACTGGGTGGCACAGTGTATAGATCACTGGGCCTAGAGTCCAGAACACCTGAGTTCAAATCCAGCCCCAGATACTTACTAGCCATGTGACTCTGGGCAAATCATTTAACCTCTGTTGCCTCACTTTCCCCACTGTAAAAATGAGAATAATAAACCACATCTCAGGCTTGTTGTGAGGATCAATGAGATAAGATTTATAAAGCACTTAGCACAGTGCCTGCACTTAATAAATGCTTGTTTTCTTCCTTTCTCTCTGAATCTCAGTTTCCTCATCTATGAAAAAGAGAAGACAGAACCAGATTATCCTGCAAGTGGACAAAATCCAACTGTGCTACTTGCTTCGATCCCTGTGACCACAGATAAGCCACCTGAACTCTCTGGGCCTCAGTTTCTTCGTCCTGTGGTGACTCTGGGTTCCTACCCACAGTGGAAGGGATGGTGGGGGTGGGGAGGCAGACAGTGCCAAATCTGAGGAAGTCAAGTCTAACCTTCTTTTATAGGTGAGGAAACTAAGCCCAGAGAAAGGGAGTAACCAGCACAAGATAACACATCTCTAAGCAACTTTTCACTGAAAATCCCTATAATTTTATGACCATGTCTGTTATTGTTATTATTATTTTTCTAGCTCTGGCATTGTATAGTTCTTTGATTTTAAGCCTTTACATTGAAGTCAGAGGGG